TGGATTTGCTCACACAAGCTCTTGGCTCAATCCTTATCCATCCTCCTGAAATATACTAGCCAGAAATGCGATTGCTTTATAAAAACGAGAACCGTTTTGAAATATGAGTGTTTTTACGCTCTAGAAAATAATTTCTACAAATTCGCATACGCGGTTTTGCATTTTGCTGATACGCGGTTTAGCATTTTGTTGATCAGCGGTTTTGCACTTTAAACGACGATATGTATCTTTCCTAATAGAAGCGTAGCTTCCTCCCCAGCGTTGCCGATTTGGTAATTTTTTACCAAAACTGGTAATTTTTTTCTTTTTAGAACGAGTTTGGTAATTTGGTATTTTTTTTTTTTAAATCGGTAATTTTTTTTCAACGTAAGTCCTTTCTTTAAAATTTTTAATACTAACTAATTACTTGTAAGAATTTAGAACTTTAAACCTTCTTACAATTGCACAAAACAAAAAATTTGCATCTTAAGACAGCCGAAAATTGAAAGAGCTCTTTAACGTAATAATTTTCCTTGACAACACAGAACTTTACACGCCTATTCTGCAACACTTTCATATTCGGATTTTGCTACGAATCGTAGAAATGGTATGCTGCATCCGAATCGTATCTATCTTTGAACTTTCGAAATTCGTAACAACGGCATGCCTAAAAACGAACGAGTAAGAAATTGACAGTTTTTTTGCGTAATTTTGAACGAAAAAATTCTGTGTCGGAAGCCAGATAAAAATTAAGCAAAAAGATGGAAATCGATGTGTTTGCAGTAAATATTAGTGTTGTTCTTTTTAACAGACAAATTTTCTTTTCGAATATACGTATATTTGTATCCAGAGCTTTATATGAACGAACAAAAAAGAATGTTTGTTGCCCCTTAACGAAAAACTTGGGTACGGTTTAGTTATTAGTACAATGATTTTGGGTTGTTGTATCCAAACGCATCACCCGAATATAAAGACTTCAACATGCACGTGTTGTCAAAGGATTATACTTTAACTTAAAACAAAGGTGCCGAGCTCTAGTTTATTAATAAATTCGGTTTGAACCATGAACTTTTTTTTGAAAATTTCGATGTCGGTTCTGCGCAAAGATACAGTGGATGACGTAGCCGGAGTTACACATATGCACAATAAATGTTGTATGCTTCCGCCCTCTTCTCCGGCAACAAAAAAAGGGAATTCTCATTAGTAAGGCTTGTAATCCCTAAGCGTGGTCGAAGGAAGAAGCAAGCGCGACCAGGTGGGGGACCTAACAAAGTGCATATTTTCAATGGCTTGGAAAAAACTGTCATTGCAGTAACTGGATTGAGAACCAGTTCTTCAGGAATAGGTTTTTTGCCTTGTCTGTATAAAATTTTGCAATAGATATTAAAATAATTCAACGATATTAATAGATTGGTGCTCACACATGCTTATATGTATGTACATTAGGGTGGTC